TGAAACTATCACAGATTTCGTATTGGCATTGTGGACTGTGTGTTTAATTGCTGCCTGTAATTGGTCTGAATTAATGAACTGAAAATGCCTGAGAGGTTATGACTGTGCTCTAATCAGAAGCAGACAGACAGGGTGAGCGGAGATGTCTGACTCTGAACACAGCACTGCTGTACAAGAAACAGGTGGCTTAAATATATAGTAACTGAGAGAACTCGCCTGGTTTATTTATTTTATTAGCAGAGTTTTTCTCAGATTAGAAATACATATTTTTCCGTATGGTTTGTCTGCTCGTCTTCATTTCTGTCTGTCTGCTTGGCTGTCTATAAATATTCTAGAGTTAATGAAAGGGGGTTAGAGTAAATGAACAACCACTCCTTTCTCTAAAAAGTTATTTCCATTTAAAAAACATTAGAATAACATTTTTAAATTTAATGCTGGATGCATAACAAGCACACACCAAGTAGCATAGAATGTTTTTGGGACTGCAACTTGATTGCAAAAATGTAAAATATTATAAATATAATTAATTTAATTTAATTTAGTCTGTGTCTATATACATATAAATCCCATACCTAGTGTGAAAATATATTTGGTTAAGCCTTAGTGGATGTTTACACCAAAGTTCAAAATAACCCCCCAATACCCTTGCAGTGCCAAAAGGTAAAAAAATTAATTTAAATTAATATATTAGACCAAAGGATTAACTGAACTGGTAAATTCTATCCTTAATAGTTTGGTGCCACCTTCTACAGACAGATCAAAATACTGAGTTAGGATTTAATATGACTCCATCGTATGTTAATTTATAAATGAGCTGCTTTGAAGACAAGTACCGATGCCCCCTTGAGTTATATGAGACTGGATTTGGTTCAATATATATTGACCATGTACTGGGCGTTTGGAATGGTAATTTGACATAATTGTTGACCCTTTTCCCCTACATAAATAAGGATGACCCCAATACTGAGTTTACTATGCAACCCAATAGTGCAGAAAAGTTCCTTGGATTAAATGTCATTGGAGGATAACATTCTTACAGACATTTGTTCCAAACCAACAGACAGGAATTGTCACTTACAAAATACCAAATTCCGCACTACCAACACTTTAAATTCTTAAAGTCAGCTGAATAGAGTGAAAACAACATATCTCAGATGACCTACTGCTAATTAATGACTTAAAATTATGTCTCATAAATTCAGAATGAACAATTACCCTTCTGAAATATTTAAAATGCCAAAACATGACACGCAAATGAATATGACTGAAATTCTAAAATTTAAAGAGATATAAACAAAAATCTAAAAATATTTAACATGTTGCATTTGTGAGAGAGGGTTGTAGCAAGAGCAAAACAATTGCCCAAGTAACATGTACATCCTGACACAATCAGTGCACTGGTCTTCTCCCTCTCCTGATCTACAGATGGGCCCAGAGGTGCATAAGAAGATATGTTGACCTCCTTGCCAGCTCAGAGATGGACCCCACACATACAGAGCTGGAGCTGCAGGACAAGACATGTGTCTACCCCTAAAAAATAAGAAGAGGATTACCTCAAAAGCTCTTGGAAAAGTCATATCAGATGAAACGAGTTGAGCTTATTGTGAAGACTTAGCTCTTGCTGTTGTGAAGATCCTCTGATACATGCCTCCTCTGACTCCAAACACGAATTTACAACATCTTCTTTATTGAACATTCGGAAGATCGACAATTCGGTGTGTTAGCAGGAGGGGGGGGGGGGGTATATGTGAAGGTTTCTGGCACTTGGGCAAAAGTGCACTTTGCACAATTTCTGTGGTGCTTCATTTTTGTGAGTTAAAATAAATTGTCACTATATGTCTTTTATCTGTTGTTTTTATTTTCCATGAGAATTAGATATATTTTAATTTAAAGGGAGACTATAGTCACTGGAACAACTATAGCTTATTGTAGTTGTTTTGGTGAGTATAGTCAGTTCCTGCAGGTATTTTGATGTAAACACTGCCTTTTCAGATAAAATTGTAGTGTTTACATTGATGCCTAGAGACACCTCTAGTGGCAGTCACTCAGACAGCCACTAGAGGTGCTTCCTGGGTCACTGCTGCACAGTGTGCAGCACTGATGCTCAGCGTATCCATGCTATGCATGGAGGTCGCTGAAAGCTCCCTAAAGGGATGCATTGATTCATTGCATCTCTATGAGGAGAGCTGATTGGCGTAGAAATTTGCTGCTCATGCGCGATAGCCTCCCAATGCTTTCCTATGGAAGGTGGAACCAGAGCAGGGGCGTGGGTCCACCAGTAGTGATGTCGCGAACCCGAAATTTTCGGTTCGCGAACGGCGAACGCGAACTTCCGCAAATGTTCGCGAACCGGCGAACCGCCCGAAACGCCATTGACTTCAATGGGGAGGCGAATTTTAAAACACACAGGGACTCTTTCTGGCCACAATAGGGATGGAAAAGTTGTTTCAAGGGGACTAACACCTGGACTGTGGCATGCCGGAGGGGGATCCATGGCAAAACTCCCATGGAAAATTACACAGTTGATACAGAGTCTGGTTTAATCCATAAAGGGCAGAAATCACCTAACATTCCTAAATCACAATGAATATGGATTGACACCTGACATATGACATATTGACACCTTGACATATGGATTGACACCTGTCCTCAGAGCCCCTGATGCACACGGACACAGAGCAGAATAGAGACTGGTCCCCCTACATAGGGTCACTTGGCAAATATGGATTGACACCTGTCCTCAGAGACCATGATACACACTGACACAGAGCAGAATAGGGACTGTTCCCCCTACATCGGGTCACTTGGCAGATATGGATTGACACCTGTCCTAAGGTTCCCTGATACACACTGACACAGAGCAGAATAGGGACTGGTCCCCCTACATCGGGTCACTTGGCAGATATGGATTGACACCTTGTTACAAAATGCTATTTGTAACGGGCCCTTTAAATGGCAAATTGCCCTGCTTCCCTGGGTTGTGGAGAAGCCTACTTGCCAGCCTCCTCCCGCATGACTATGGCCCCTGGGAGATTGTGAAAATGTATGCACTTTTATTTGGTGTGTATGGCCCTTTAAGACTGTCGGTGGGCATATTGGGGCTTATGGACTCTTTATGTGACTGGTGCTGGCCCTTTAAACACCTTTTTTGGGACATCAGGAAGATTGGGACACTGCCCCTTTAAGGCTGTGTCCCCAGACTTGTTGGGACACTGCCCCTTTAAGACGGTGTCCCCTGTGTCCCCAGACCTGGTGCAAACCCTTTGTGCCTGCCTTGCTATTTCCCACTTGGTTCAGTAAATGGGAAATTATTTCAGCTGCAGAGACTAAGTCCCATTCGGCGATGGGACTTAGTCTTTTTTTCAGCCGTTTTTTTCAGCCTTATTTCAGTTGCAGAGACTAAGTCCCATTCGCGATGGGACTTAGTCGTTTTTTCAGCCTGAAATAGACCGACCTCACAGCCCAAATCTATGGAACTGTTTTGGGCAGGAAAATGTGCTTGCGGTCGGTCATAAAGGGACCTCCAGCTAACTTTTAACCCCTGGATGGATTTGGCTGATTTTTGGTTATGTTTATGTTTTAAGTGTGCTGATTCCAAATATGTAATTATGAAGATGGGATGTGTAGTTTTAAAGTTACAGGGTATGGCTAAAAACTCTATTTTTACTGCCTGTGTTTAATTATGTTAATCTCTTCCCAAACGTCATTTCGTTCAAAGTGGAGAGAATGTTAAAAAATATATTTTTGTTCGGAGTGTGAGAAATGCTTTTCAGCCGCTTCTAATCTTAAGCATAATTTGAGGAGCCATACAGGAGAGAAACCTTATTTGTGGTGTGTTTAGTATTGTTCTGATCAGTTTAATACCTTCCGCGTCTCCTATCAGTGGACGTGTATGGCAGCCATTTTAGGAACCGCACACCTGGGACCCAAGCAAGGTCACCTCGTTCAACAGGCGACAACATTTGTCCCTGGAAAACTATCCTGGACATTCTGTACAATTTGTATGGATATGGCAGTGATTTCTGTAACAGGGAGATGGAGAAGATGCTTGGTCGGTCCTCTTAATTCAAATTTGGGGCACTGCGCGGTCAAGCTAATGTGCCACCAGATAGGAGTGGTGTGTTTAGTATTTTTCTGATCAGTTTAACCCCTTAAAACCGGAGGACGTAC